ACATTATTCGCATACAGGAGGTACGTAATATATGTTACTCCCTGTGGAGGTATCTGAGTGACTTCGTTTTGCATACTTCCTTTAGGATTGCAACCTGAAAAGATTGATTCTTTATTATTCTCCTTTCTGCTAATTTGAAGAAAAAAGTTTGTCTAATGTTAAAGAAGACCCAGGGGTTGGAATTCATCTACCTGTATCCCTATTTCCTGCTTGATTGGAGAGGAAATCAGGGCTCCCGTCTTTCGGGCTCCTAAAGAGGGTATAGAATGTTGTTGTTTTAGAGAACCCTGTACTCCTGTAGGTTCTGGGGTTCTCCTCTGTGCTCAGGTAACCTCCAAAACAAAGATGCATTGAACTGACATTTTGGAGAAAAGGCACAGAGGATGGTAAACGGGAAGAAATCATTCATTCATTAAGTTATAAATTCACTCATTCATTCAACAAACATGTTTTGAACTCCTCGTCAGGGTCAATCTCTGTGCTAAGTGCTATTGATTTTGAGATGAATCAGAAATAACAGCCATATCTGCAATTAGTATTTAGAGCAATTCATGCATCCTGGAGTTGCTGACAAAGACTTCAAAGAGGAAATGTCATGTGAACTGGGCCTTACTTTTCTACATAAGAATTCATTATATAGAAAAAGTATGGGAAAGGCGATTAAAGATAAATCAACACTTTAAAAAGGCAGGAGGGCTTTTGAGAAGATAATGCATTCAGGGAAAGCCTCACAGCTTCACATGGGGAGTTCACAATCTATATTGGCTGGTGTGTCTAAATTATTTACTCTAGTTGTTAATCTCTTAAAGTTAACTCATGAATATATTAATTTATTCAATCCATAATCATTCTTGAGCACTTCCTTCATGCAAGGCTCTGGATAGATCCTGCAGAACCAAATATGAGTAATATACAGACCTGCTCTCATGTAGTGCTCAGTCTAATGCAGTCAAATGGATATAATGAAAATTGGGCTATCATAGAAAAGTATGTATACTATGATTGAGTGTGTGTGCTCACTCATCCACATGTGCACACTCATCTGAATCTGAGGATGTGAGTTACAGGTCCTCTTCAGTCACCAGGAAGGATCCAGGATGATGGCTTGTTCCAAGAGCTGGGCCAGCCTGTAGTCACTGAGTTCTGAGAGCACACAGGTCTTAGACTCTTCCTGAATCTCTGGCGGGATCAGGTATTATGGACTGTTTCCTTCCCAGAGTCTTCAGTGGAGTCATGCATTCTTGACCCTATCCTGCCTTGTTTTTATGCTATCATAGGGATACTAGGAATAGCTTCAGAGGATTGTTGTGAGAATTAAAGGAGTTAATGCATTATAAAATACTTAGAATGGCCTAGCACATGGTCAGTGAATAATATAATTCCTAATATACATATTAAGAATTAGTATTATTATTATCATTATTGCTTTCATTGGTATCTCAGACTATCTGTGTTAAATGAGATCAGAAGGCTGCCTTGTCTAACCTCGCACCAAGTACAGGAACTTTCTTTATGGGATCCCTTGAAGCTTCCCACACTTGTCCTCCCCTGTGATGTGGACCTTTCTGCTTTCCCTTCAGCCCAGTGTTAAAGAGTCTTGACTTCATGCTGAGTTAAGATTTGGCCCCTGTGATTCCTACCATTTGTCTTAGGAGACGAGTCTTCTTTTTCTTTTACCATTGCTTTTTAGAATAAGCAAGTATTATTGGACACCTCTCAGTACCACTGCTAGCGAGAGAAGGAAAAGGTGACATTGTTCCTGTATTCAAGAATCCTACCTTTTCTTTGAAGAAACTTCCACTTACTTTTGTTGCTCATTGTTAAGAAACAAACCAGGTGATAAGACATGTTTAAATATATGTCAAAGTAGAGAAAATTAATGAAGAATGAATAGTCAGAGAAGGCTTCTGAGGAGGTATGTTAAAGGATAGGCATTTATTTATACACTCGTTTGTTTATTAATCAATTAGTTAATTTAAAAATATTTAAACCTTTATTGACAATCTATAATATGCCACATCTGTGAGTCAGAGTTTACCAAGTAATTAAGATGGCAGGACAGGCAGTCCAAGGTGAGAAAATACCAAATACAAAAACACAGAGGTATTGGACGTATGACACAAAGTTGTGTTAGGGACTTAATTTGCTCATATAAATAAAATATAGGCACAAGGATGGAGAAATGGCTGTTGATGCTGGGGTTACAGGGTGATCTTGGGGAGTGTTGTGGGCCAAACTGCAATGTGAGGAAGCGGAGTTGTTTGGAGAGTTTTAGGGCGAGTACTGTGCGATCAGATTTTTCTGGAAGCAGGAGGTAAAACTCTGAGTCGGGTGGTAAGGGGAGAAAGGTAAGTGACAAGATGCTACAGGGACCTTGAGCACAGACTTCAGAGTTGCACTAGCCCAGTGGTCAGCAAACTGCAGCTCACGAGCCACATGCGGCTCTTTGGCCCCTTGAGTGTGGCCACGAAGTTTCAATCGCACTGTACATGCGCGCCCGCACGTGGTATTTTGTGGAAGAGCCACACTCAAGGGGCCGCAGTTTGCCGACCACTGCACTAGCCTATGTCTGCTACAGACTCTGCTGCTTACTAACATTGCAACCCCCGGGGAATTTTACCTCTCTGAGCTTCTATTTTCTCAGCTGTGTAAAATGAATGTTAATAGCCCCTAGCTCAGAGAGTTATTGCAATGATTAAATGATAATGCATATAAAACATTTAACACCATGCCTGAGACAGTGAAACTATAAAAACCAAAATAAGAGAAAACCAGAAGTGCATTCCAAATGAGAGACACATTTCTCCCACACACTCCCATTCCTCTTTTCCTTTATTCTTTGCATTACTAGTACTTGAAAGCCCTCATGAATTTGTCCTGCTGAGCCCTTCGCAAATAGATTTTTGTTTGTATCTGTAGCAGGGTCTGGAAAATCTAAGCCCTGAGCAACATCTCAGCTTCCTTGAATGATTACCCCAGGGCCCATTACCTTCACTCTGTCTGCAAATCGGGTTAGGCATCCGACCCACTCAGGAGGGAAGCTGTGACAGCTGTAGGCATTAGATGAATTCTCCTGATAGCACATAATCAAATTTGGTGGATATGGCAGGCTCTCAGAGTCAAGTTACTAAACTTGGCTAGAATAGGAGAAAACTGAGATGATTAGATTTACAGCATGGGCCCTTATCAGATATACTAGTAAATGAAGAGTTGAAAAGATCAGCATCATAACCTGAGGGACCTATGACTGAAGGAATCACTTGGGGATGAAGGCATGCTCACCTTGTGCTCTAGGAGGATCACACTCACACCTCTGAGTCAGGGCCTGAAGTGACTATCACAGAACTTTGGCTGGAGACCTCAAAGCCACTTTCACCAGCATTCTCCCTGCATACAACTCTGAAACCCTGAGACTAGCTTATTCCAGCAACCTCATATTCCTGCACGTTCAATCACATTACAAATGTAGACCATCATCTATCCTCTCTGTCTGTTCTCTCTCCAGCTTACTTCTCTGACCAAAACTTTCCACTTTCTCCTTTGAGGCAGCTCTATGGTTAATCATCTCACTTTTTTAAAAATTTTTTTATTGATTAAGGTATTACAAATGTGTCTTTATCCCCCTATTGTCCCCTTACCCCCCCCCCCAGTCTTGCCCTCACCCTCACCCCCTGTTGTCTGCATCCATCGCTTATGCTTATATGCATGCATACAAGTCCTTTGGGTGATCTCTCCCCATTACCCCCACCCTCCCCTACCTTCCCTCTGAGGTTTGAGCATCTGATTGATGCTTCTCTGTCTCAACCTCATGCCTGGTGCCCTCCTCCTCACGCTTTCCTCCATATGTTTCTGTGCTTCTTGGCTTTTCAGTTGAATGCTAAGCCATTCCAGGTGAACCTCACAACTCCCATCCACTGTGCCAGAACCCCTCGTCCCCCCCCAAAAAACAAACAAACAAAAAACGTGTTTGTCCTCAAGGATCTTCCAAACTGATCCTAATGGATAAGACTTAGGAAGCAGTCAATAAAAGAGCAAGTTACTACAAAATGTGGGAGCTGAACTGGCCTCAAATTGTCAGTGGATGATCCTGGAAAAAGCACAGTTTGTGAGGGGTTTTGTACGATTAACAGGATTTGAAGGGACAGAAATGAGAGGTCTTCTTTGTACGTGTGAATGCTTTCAATGTCATACAGCGTGGCGGGGTGTAGTGAACCTGTGAGGTGGGAGAATATAAAGAAGTTATAGGAATTATGACTGGAACATTTTGCCTTTTCTCGTGTATGGGTTTAGTATTCCTTTTTGGAGAATGAGCATGATGGCTTAGCAAAATTGCCTGCACAGCATATTTTAAAGCAGAATTTCCCAAAGTGCTTCTGTAGAAAACTAATCTCGTGAAATGTTCTGTAGAAAAATAATAGTAATAATCTAAAGAAGTGTTAATTTCTCCTCCCTTGAATATTCACAATGCACATTCTTTTGAGCGGTCTGAAATAGTCTTGTAATACAAAGAGCTGACTTTCCTAGAAAAAGCAGGCATCCCGTATTTATGTCATTATACTATCACACTCTTTATTTCCCCTCAAAGCATTTTTAGAGTCTATGACTATTTTGTATGCTTAGTTTTAATATTTTATTGAGTGCTTCCCACTATAGGATCTACTCCATGAGGACAACACCTTGCCTATCTTATTAACCCTCGCACATCAAGAGTCTAGCGTGATGCCTGGGCATATAAAAGGTGCTCACAATAAGAATAAACAATGAATACAACTTGCTCAGCTTTCTGTAACATGGCATTGTCCAAGCAGCTGACAAAGGGTAGGGCTGGAATTTGAAGAGTGCTGCCGGATTCCAGTCTCTTGGTGACCACAGGTGGTGTGAGCTGTTGCCCCTGGGGTCTTGATGTTACAGTTTTTCTTGGGCATTTATTTCTGCTTATTCCCGTTTGAAGCTCGAACGATTGTCTAAAATACCCAAATTTCTTTCTTTGTATCTTTCAGGCAAAGGCTGCCACCTAAAAATGTTTACTACTACCGTTGCCCGGACCATAGGAAGAATTATGTGATGTCCTTTGCATTTTGTTTTGACCGAGAAGAAGATGTTTACCAATTTGCCTACTGCTACCCGTATACATACACCCGCTTTCAGCATTACCTTGACAGCCTGCAGAAGAGAAACATGGATTATTTCTTTCGGGAGCAGCTGGGCCAGAGCGTGGTAAGGCCCATTCAGAGACAGGCAGCTGTGGGGAGAGCATGCAGTGGGTTTTCATAGAATGCAAATAATGGGTACTGGTGCTCTGTGGAACTTTTAAAAATTGTTGTTTTTAATGCGTAATTCATTGCTACAATATGGCCACCAGGAAGCTACAGAATGAGGTATAAGACAGATGTGTATCCTTTTGAATGAAGCCGATAAAGATCTCTCACAAAATACAGAAGTTTTGCTAATTTCCAGAAACTCTGAGAAAAAGAAAATGCTTCTACTGGGTGACACAAAGGGCATGGGAGCATTTTATGAGTGTGAGCCTCTGAGATGAAGAGCTGATTTGTTTTTTAGTGAATTTAACTTGCCCACAGTGCAGGTTCTCAAGTGGTGCACAGTTTGAATGTACTGCCCGCAATGTGTTCTGACTCCGCTGTCCATCAGTTCCCAGCCCCTCTTCCTTCCCCTGGTAGTTTCCAAGTCTGGACATTTCAGTCATACACTCTGTATCAGTTTTCTGTTGCTGATGTAACAAGTGGCCATAAACTTGGTGGCTTAAAACAACACCAATTTATTATCTTACAGTTTAGGATAAACTTGGTCACACTGGCCTAAAACCAGGATATCAGCAGGTCTGCATTCCTTCTACAGGCTCTTGGGGAGAATTCATTTTCCTGCCTTTTCTAGTTTCAAGAAAAGGGGTGGGGAATGTACAGCTCAGGCTGTATAAGGCCCACAAAATCGTTTGGTCTGGCCCTGCCAAAGCAACCACAGGAGGGACTCAAAATTCATGAATGTAGGAGCTTTTTTTCATAGCAATATAAATTTATATTAAGTTCATTATATTTAGCAAAGGATGTGACGAATATCTAAATGGCCCATGGCAGAACAAAGGTTCCCCACCCCTGTTCTAGAGTCTGCTTGCATTCCTTGGCTTGTGGTTCCCCTCCATCTTCTAGGCCAGCAATGGTGGCTTGAGTCTTTTTCTTGCTGCATCACTCTGACACCAAATTTCCTGCCTCCCTCTTTCACTTCTAAGGACCTTTGTGATTTATATTAGGCTCACCCACATAATCTGGAAGAGTATGTCCATCTCAGGATCTTTAACTTAATCATGTCTATGAAGTCCCTTTTTTCATGTAAGATAACATATTCAGAGGTTCTAGGGATTAAGATTTGGACATTTTAAGGGGGGCGGGGGTACATTGTTCTGTCTACCACACCTTTCTCCTCTCCTTTTCTCTTTCCCTCCCTGCACAACCCAGGGTCTGAAATTGTTCTTCACATTGGATGCATAGGTTTTGGTCTCTGTAATCAGCAATACTTTGATTACTAATAAAGAATAAGAAATGATAATTTGGTTTTACATTTCACTCTTCAACAAATGTGGATTGTGCTTCTGAAATAGGTATATTGAGCACTTTAATGATCCTAAATGAAGATACTGGTGGAATTGGCAGAAAATACTATACTTGAGTTTCTGATACATGTTGGTGGAAAAATGTATTTGCCCAGTGACTGTGGGTTCCATCTAGAATTGGGTTCCACTTCTAAATAAAATATTTCAAGACTAGACTGCTTGAAAAACATAGTGTTTGGTCCAGGATAACCCCCCCTCCCCCCAAAAAAAGAAAAAAGAAAATAGATATATAAAGAGGACTGTGCATAGCTCAGGTACATGAGAACCAAATCTTGTATCAAAAGTTAGTGGTCATGATGCTATTCTTATAGTCTGAGATTCTCTATGCACTAAATTTTGCTAAATATCTTCCCTTTACTCTAACACCCTTCTTAACAATGATTCTGATGGGTGCTATATGTCTAGTGCCTACATATTTTGAACTGAAAATTGGGATGCATGTTGTATCAGCCAGCCTGCTAGCAGGAAACAGATGGCAGCCTCACATTAGGATCATTTGTGTAGGGCTTAATAAATGGGCTATTTACAAGGTGTGGGCAGTGTGTGGGGAAACCGCAGGATATAGTGCCATTCCCTGGAGCTAGTAATAGCTTCAATGGTGTGAAGGGAAGGAATGGTTACCAGAACCCAATAGTAAAGAGTCATGTTGTGGGCCACCTTGAGTGGAACAGTGACCTTCAGTTGAGGAACAAAGTTGGCCTAAAATGACCCCACAGGGAGGGAGCTGAGAAAAATAAATACATAGAGCTCATTCTCTTACTTCCCTATGATCTCTTTCCAGCGGTTCTTATTGACCAACCCAACCAGAAATCAGAGGGCAAGAGAGCCCATGGATGTAACCCATATAGATAAGCCTCCTTGGGCAAAGAAAAGAGTGGATAAGGGCAGAGAATGGATGTAGAGAGGCAACTGGAATATATTAAGCACAAATGGTCTGATCAACAGTATGTTACTGGAAACAGTGAGATTATTTGAGATGGGACTGCCAGAGAAATTCTGAGATGAATGTTTGCCAGGCATAAGAACCATGATATGAATTAAGAGAGTGAGAAGTTCATCCAATGACTTTTAAGCGCAGTGTCTGTACATTTAATTCTTGTGTCCACCATAGTCCCCTCTTAGATTTATGCTAGGCAGAATGTCCATGAACTTTGAATGGCTATTGAGTGAATTCTTGAATGAATGAAAGAATGGCTTATGATATATGTCTAGAGGCAATGTGAACAGCTAAGAGCATCAAAGAGTTGATAGGAGGGATAATAGAATCAGTTAAGCTGCCAATAATATTCAAATATATATCTAAGATGACAGCAACATAAATAAGATAGAAGTTTATTTTTCTCCCATATAAAAATCTAGATGTAGGCAGTCCAGAGGTGGTATTATGGCTCTGGTTTTGGTCCTTGAAAGCCTTAGGGTATCGGGTTCTTTTAGCTTTCTGCTCTGCCATCTCTGGGTCATGGCCCTCAATCTCATGATTCACTGTGGAATTGTATCATCACATCCATGTTCCAGGCAGCAAGGATGAAGGGGTTAGGGGGAGAAAAGAGAAGATGCAGTTAGGTGACACTTATATCTTTATCCACATTTAGCTAAAGGGAGGATGAGAAATGAAGTTTTCATCCTGAGTGACCATGTTTCCAGCTAAAAGCTGTGGTCCTAAACATGTGGAGAACTGATGTTGAAAGACAGCCTTGGTCTCTGCCTCAGGAGACCTGAATTATGCTTCCAGCTCTAATACCAAAGTACTCATATGACCTTGAATATTACTTTTCCTATCTGAGGACAAGATTTTCATCTATAAAATGAGAAAGATTGACTTGAATAGGGGTTTTCAAATTATCTTTTGAGGAATCCCTCAGTTAGATAAAACAAATAATTTGAGATCCCTATCCTACTTCAGACCCTATGAGAGTCACTGTGGGGATATATAATGAGGTATACAAGTCTTGGTGTACTTATAGAAATGCATTCTATACCAAAGGAAATAAGACATGTTCAAACAGATAAAATATTTTTGAAGTATATAATTAAGTATCCCATGAGTTGTTTGAAGATTTAATGGTCAGCCCAGTGGTGTGGCTCAGTGGTTGAGCATCGACCTATGAACTAGGAGGTCACAGTTCAATCCCCAGTCAGGACATATGCCTGGGTTGCAGGCTTGATCCCCAGTGTGGGGCGTGCTGGAGGCAGCTGATCAATGATTCTCTCTCATCATTGATATTTGTATCTCTCTCTCCCTTTCCCTTTCCTCTCTGAAATCAATCCTATATAATAAAAGCATAACATACTAAGTGTCTGACCCACCAGTCACTATGACCACCAGGGGGGCAGAAGCTCCGACCGGTAGTTTAGCTTGCTTCTGGGGTCCAGCCAATCAGGACTGGGCGAGAGGGCTGGACACGTCCTGGAGCCCTCCCATGCCCCCTCTCCGGCTGGCCACCCAGGTTGGCTTGGACTGGGTGAGACGGCCCCGATTGGCCCCAATCGCTGGCCAGGCCAAGGGACCCCACACATGCACAAATTTGTGCACTGGGCCTCTAGTAAAAATATATTTAAACAAAGAGTCAGTGGTCATACTAAACATCATGGAAAAGATGGGCTTTAAGCTGAGTCTTACCCCACCAAACAAAATCCCTTTGTACATGCATCAAGGCCACAATCTGATATTTAAGATAAATACTTTTTTTTTTTCCTGGTTGTTTTAACAGCTTTGTTGAAGTATAATTTACATACCATAAAATTCACTAATGTAAGGTATAATTCGATGATTTTTAGTAAATGAATAGTTTTACAACTGTCACCATGATTCCATTTTAGAGTATTTTTATCATCTCAAAAAGTTCCCCTTGTAATATTCTCTCCTACTCCCTAGGCAAGTACTGACCTGCTCTCTGACGCTATACATTTGCCATTTCTGAACATTTCATATAAATGGAATTATATATTGTATAGTCACATTTTGCATCTTTCACTTAGCATATTTTTGATATCCATCCATGTTTAGTATGTGTCAGTAGGTCATTCATTTTTATAGCTGAATACTACTCTATTGAAAAGATGTACCACATTTTCTTTACCTGTTCTCCAGTTGATGAACATTGTGATTGTTTCCACCTTTAGGCTATTATGAATAATGCTATTATGAACAGTCATGAACATATATTTGAGTGTACATGTGATTACATTTCTCTTGGGTTGTTTTCTAGGAGTGGAAACATTGGAGCATATAGTAAATTCATGTTCAACTTAACAAAACAACTACTGTCAAATTGTCCCGAGTTAGTAGAGCCATTTTACATCCCTATGAGCAGTGTAGGAGAGAGTCATAGTTTCTCCATGTGCTTACTTTGAATTATCTATATATTTTTATTATAGCCATTTCAGCAGGTGTATAGTCATATCTCATGTGGTTTTACTTTGGATTGCCTAGTGACTAATTATGTTGAGTAGCTTATCATGTGCTTATTTTCCATTCATATATACTAGTAGTCTTTAATGAAGTGTCCATTTCAATCTTTTGCCCATTAAAAAAATGGGTTAAAAAATGGGTTATTTGTGTTCTTATAATGAGAGTTCCTTATATATTCTG